GAAGCATTTGTTAAAAAATATTTGTCAGATGAATATTTTAAGGACATCAAAAATTTTAGAAAATAAATATAATCAAGCTTATACTTCTTACATGCTAATAATTTAACAGAAGCATTTGTTAAAATATTTGTCAGATACATAATTTAAATTCATCAATAATTTTAAAAAATGAATATAATAAAGCTTATACTCACGCGCTAATAATTTGACAGAGGCATTTATTAAAATATTTGTAGATACATATTTTAAAATCACTAATAATTTTAAAAAAATATATAGTGATCTTATACTTACTTCCTAATAATTTGACAGAGGCATTTGTTAAAATATTTGTCAGATGAACAATTTAAGATTACTATAATTTTAAAAAATAAAATATAATAAAGCTTATACTTACTGACTATACTTACTGACTAATAATATCATAGAGGCATTTGTTAAAACATTTGTAATGCATATTTTAATAATTTAAATAATAAATATAATAAACTTATACTTACGCTCTAATAATTTGACAGAGGCATTTGTTAAAACATTTATCAGATGCATATTTTAATAATTTAAAAAAATTAATATAATTTCGCTTATATTTACGCTCTAATAAGTTGATAGAGGTAATTGTTAAAATATTTGTCAGATGCACATTTTAAGATTACTAATAATTTAAAAAAATAAATACAATAAAGCTTATACTTACAAGCTAATAATTTGTCAGAGGCATTTGTTAAATATTTGTCAGAAGCATTTGTTAAATATTTGTCAGATGCAAATTATAAAATTACCAATAATTTTAAAAATAAATATAATAAAGCTTATACTTACATGCTAATAATTTGACATAGGCATTTGTTAAAATTTATGTAAATGCATATTTTAAGATTACCAGAAATTTTAAAAATAAATATAATAAAACTTATACTTTCTAATAATTTGATAGAGGTATTTGTTAAAATATTTGTCAGATGTATATTTTAAGTTCATTAATAATAATTTTAAAATAAATATAATAAAATTTATACTTACGCGCTAATAATTTGACAAAAGCATTTGTTAAAATATTTGTAAATGAATATTTTTAAAATCAATAATTTTAAAAAATAAATATAATAAAACTTATACTTACGTTCTAATAATTTGACAGAGTTTTTATTATTATATTTATCAGATATATATTTTAAGATCACCAATAATTTTAAAATAAATATAATAAACTTTATACTTACGCGCTAATAATTTAATAAATAAAATCATAATATGCAAATTTAGAAACAAATATACTACTATTCGCTAATAACTTACTAAAAGAAATGTAAATTATAAAATTATAAATAATAATTTAAAATCGAATAAATATTTTAAACCCAAAATAATTTATACTTACGAACTAATAATTTGACAGAGGCATTTATTAAAATATATGTTAGATGCATATTTTATGATCACAAATAATTTTAAAAAATAAATATAATAAAGCTTATGCTTACATGTAAGTCATTCAATAATAATTTAGACATACTCTCTAACAGTTAAACAATATGAAATGTACGTTATGAATTATTAGTGTAATTTAAAATTACGCATTATAAATTTGTTAAAATCAAATAAAAATTTTAAAATATATAAAAGAGCTTATACTTACACACTAATAATTTGACAGAAGCATTTGTTTAAATATTTGTCAGATGTATATTTTAATATCACCACCAATAATTTAAAAACCAAAAAAAGTTTATACTTACGTACTAATAATTTGACAGAGGCATTTGTTAAAATATTTGTCAGAACACGTATTTTAATATCACCCAATAATTTTAAAAATAAATATAATGTGATTATACTTACTCGCTAATAATTTAAAAAATTTAAAGCAGATATACTACAACTCGTAACTATTCGCTAATAATTTAATAAAAGAAATGTACATTATAAATTATAATTTGATAATTATAAATTTTAAAACCCAAAATATTTTATACTTACGCACTAATAATTTGACAAAGGCATTGTTAAAATATGTCAAAAATGCATATTTTAAAAAAACATCAAACTATAATTTGAAAATAAATATAACAAAGCTTATAATACTTACATGTTAGTATTAAGTAATAATTTGGACATACCCGCTAACAATTCAACAAGAGAGAATGTACGTTATTAATTGTTAATGGTGTAATTTAAAAATTATGCATTATAAATTTATGTTAAAATCAAATACAAATACTTACTTGCTAATAATTTGACAGAAGCATTTGTTAAAATATTTGTCATATGATATTTTAAGATCAATAATTTAAAAAAAATAAATATAATAAAGTTTATACTGACGCACTAATAATTTGACAGAAGAATTTGTTAAAATATTTGTCAGATAATATTTTAAGATCACCAATAATTTTTTTTAAAAAAACAGACATAATAATACTTATACTTACAGACTATAATTTGAACGAGACATTTGTTAAAATAATTGTCGCATAATTTAAGATCAGCAAAAATTTAAAAAAACAAATATAATAAAGCTTATACATACTTTCTAATAATTCTGTAATTTTGTTAAAATATTTGTCAGATGCATATTTTAAGATCTTCAATAATTATAATATATAGTAATTGTGCAAGTTGTAAAAAATATGCACGTGGGTGTTTAATGATGGCAGGTGATTGGCGCAGATTACGCCGCTTCACGGCATGATCTAAGCCAATCACCTGCCGTTAGGATTGTTAATGGAGTACTCCAGACATTAATATAACATATAACCCACTTCTGGAGTACTCCGAAGTGGGCTATGTTTTGCTATTGACTGGAGTGCTCCATTAACAACCCTACCTGCCGTCATTAAACACCCACGTGCATATTTTTATAACTGCGCAATAACGGTATTATTATGAAGTTGTTATTGACGACTATACTATTTTCTCATATTCGTATATCTATGTTATCCGACAAACTCATATGATCATGAAAAACTTTATTTCTGTTATTTTTTTTCATGTGTTACGATGTAATTATGTTTTCCAATATTCAAAAAAAAAAAAAACTCAGCGAGTGACTCCCTACCAATCATGATCATAAATTGTCGGATAACACCATTATTGGGCAAAATTGCCGTTATTTGCCCAATAATATATACTTATCGATTTAAAATTTTTCCTTTCATTTACTTTTTTTTTTTTTTTTTTTAGAATGAGGCCATTGTTAAAGTTTAAGCTCCAAAAAAAAAAAAAGATAAATCAGTGATGACATAAAATGCAAAAATATGAGAATTTTTAGTGAAGTCGTCAATAACATGGTTGCAGGTTATACTTACTGCCTAAAAATTTAGACAATCATTTGTTAAAATATTTGCCAGATATATATTTACAATTACAAATAATTTAAAAAATAAATATAATAAAGTTTATACTTACTGGCTAATAATTTGACAGAAGCATTTGTTAATATACGTATTTGTCAGATGCATATTTTAAGATTACCGTATTGTGTTATTTAGAGGTTTGGCCTGAATTAAGCTTAATTTAGGCCGAAATTTGTAATTTCACCTTGCGCGTTATTTCGCGACAATACGGTACCAATAATTTTAAAAATAAATATTTTGTCTCTCATCGGGTTACAAATGAAAATCAAACGAAGAAAAATCAATTATGGGTTATCTGTCCCTTCCGCTTTCGTGCTATAGCTACTGATAGTACAGAATTCGAGAGTATTGAAAGAAATGACTAATGCTACTAATGCTATTATTGCTACAGGTTTTACAAAAACATTCTTGGAAGGCAGGGCAAAAAAAACCAGAATTCTGGAAAAAACCCTGTTGCTACCAAGTAAAAAAACTGGTGCCATTACTTCAACATAAAGCACAAAACCTAATGACTGCCGTCTCGACAGACCATTTACTACCCAACTCGTTTATGACTGACTGCTGTTCTGACGGTCATTGTTATCGCTCCAATAGTCCCCAATAGGGTTGGGTAGGGTGGGACGAAAAAACCAGACAAAGTTGGGTTAGCAGAAAAAACAGAAATTACCTTTTGTGGGAAAAAATCTGTTCCCTTAAAAATTACAAAATGATTACTAATGGCAAAAACTACGTCATTACGACACAACAATCACCTACGAAATTGTACAGCAATCAAACAATGCATCAAACAAAATCACATGATAATCAATGCAATGCATTACTCAAACAATTGCCAAGTCCCATGATCGATTCGAGACAAAAAGCTGCTCCAATACTTTCATATCGGGCAGCTAAATTTGCCTCTCATCGGGGTACAAATAAAAATCAAACAAAGAAAAATCAATTATGGGTCTTCGCAGAGAATCGTTACAATCGAAAGATAGTTTCAAAAGCCTACCTTATTTATTCACTAAACAAAGCCTATTTGCTTTGAGGTTCCCATTTCCGTAGTATCTACTGCTCTCATGTAAAGCTGCACTGCCCCCCTGACGACCAACCACTGATTAACTGGATTTGTTCCATTGTCAAACCTCCTCTCATGGCCGCAGTTGTGCCTCCAATCCTTAAGCTGTATGTGTAAACTTCCCCTGCAGCCCCGCATTTTTTGCAAACCATTTCACAATTGCAGAAACAGCTGCTACAGATAGTTTCCCACCTGTTCTAGACAAAAACAACGGCTCCTCCAAAGATGTACTAGGTCTTACTTTTAGATACAAAAATATCAACTTCACAGGGCAGAACCTACTTGCTGTTCTTTCAATTGGAACAAACTTGCCCTTACCCAACTGATCTGGTTTGGATTTTGAAATCCTAATCCACAATTTTTCATTCCTTTCCAATATATCAGACCTCTTCAAATTGCACAGTTCACCGGCCTACGCATTACTCTTAGGTCTAAAGCTATCAAGGCCAAATCTCAAGCCCAAAACTCGATACTAACTCCTAGCAGTAGACAGTCGAAGTATCATCCAACTACCGTTACTGGCAAGAGATCTCTTGGCCATTTTACTTCGAGCTTCTTTCGTGAAGTAACCTTTTTAATACCTTCGACCAAGAAACAAGTTGAACCTCCCTTTGTCAGATCTTCAAGATCTTTCATTTTATGCTCCCTTGCCACTGCCGCTAGACAAATCATTACATCAGAAAGCTTTCCTGTCATTTCTAACCAAGCAAGAAAAGCTGCTAGAAGTTCTCTAGAGGCCGGATAAGGCCTATAGCCTCCCCAGCTCGCAAAGTTTTCAAACATGACATGGGCCTTTGTCAAACGTTTTTTGTATGCTTCACTTATAGAACTATCCATTAAAAACTCTGCTCTTCCAAGCAGCCCTTCGACTAGTTCAATAACACTGCCTTTAGATGCCATTGAGCGTTTTTGCATGGCTCCAGGTTTCCCGAAGGTCCTGGTTGAATAATTTGATTCACTAGCAGCATATTAATCTCCTTCTTGGAAGAATTTACTATTAGCGGCCACCATGGGGCCGAAACCCAAAACGGAACTATGATAACTATCTATGCTTGATACTCCCTTGCATGGAACAACACTCTGTGGATCTGGTTGAAAGGGAAGCATATGTAATTCCTCACTCCAGCCCAATTCTGGGTAAAACAGTCTACAGCCTCTGAGCCTGGGCAAAAATACAGGCTGTTGAACCTTTTGGTTCTCATGTTCAAGTGGCTGGCAAATCTGTCTACTTCGAACACCCCCCAAATTGACTCCAGGTAATTCACTACTTTTAAGCTCAACACCCAATCTCCTGAATCGACCACTCTTGTCAGAGGATCCACCAGATTTAACTCGCTTGGAACCCACTGTGTGTTGTAAATTGCAATATCACTCTCTACACAAAGCTCCCAAATCTCTCTCAAAATATCCTTCTGCTAACCCCTTTTACTACTGTTTTTAGAGCTACCTTGTTGTCGATAAACAGAGTAACCCAAGTACCTTCCAGTAGCCTTTTGAACGATTGCAATGTCTGTAGCACTGCTAAAGTTTCTAATTGGGATATAACCCATGACGAATGAGATCGTGACTAACTTCTTGCTGCTTGGTATTTCTCTAGCACCCCACACCAGCCCATTATTGAGGCGTTGACATAGACTGACCTCACTCGAGAGGGCTTCCAGGCTGGACAGCCATTCCATTTTGTGAAATTTTTTATCAGCCACCATATTTCCTTGAGTGCCTGAGGTGACAAGGTTACTTCATCGTCCCACTCCCAAATATGATGATTCTTTGCATCTATCAGCTTGTAAAATTCCATACTCTTTACCTAGCTCGGAAGGAAGGCTTTTGACAAGCTCACTATCTTTCCTGCCACAGGCGCCAAATTTCTTGCTATTACTACCTGCAGGTCCAAAAAAGCCTCCAACCTCAATGTTGTTGCAGCTATTTTTTCTTCTGGTGCAATTATAACTCCATTCATCGTATCTACGATCATACTACAGAACATTAAGGCCTGAGTTAGATTCCAACTCCCCTTTTCTTTTGCTCAGACCCAACCACAGCTGACTAGGTCCTTTACTATAATCTCTTCCTATATTTTTATTAAAACTTCCTTCTCCAGATGTGCTACCCATATATCGTCAAAATGACTGCCACAGTAAATTTCCTGGGCATGCCATTTGCCAATTACCACCCTTATTAGCTTTGAGAAAATCCAAGGTGCCTGTCTTAGGCCAAATGGCAAAATCTTGTACTGGTACCAACCCTTTTTTACTGCAAAGCCCAACAGCCTCTGGGCATTGGTATCTATTAACACATGATAGTATCCTTCTTTCAGATCAAACGAAATTAACCACTATTTCAGGCCAACCGTTCGAAGTAGGCCTCCTAACTCTTTGAAGCAGAAAGATTTCTGTGGCAACATTCAATTCAATCTCCTCAAGTCTATTACAAGCTGAAACTTTTTGGAGCCTTGTTTCGGGACCAGAAAAACTGGGCTGACTTCTAGCAGTTCTAGTGGTCTAACACTCCCTTCAGAAACCTTCACAACTGCTTCTGCTTCCTCCAACCTCACTATTTTATTGCTCAGCCAAGCTTCTTCCTTGTTTGTAAGTTGGAACAATTTCAGGTCTGGGCTGTTTATTGAACGCATTAAATTTCTCGGAAATTGGGAGATGCCCTGTCTTAACCATGACATTATTAACTGAGACGGCTCTATTTCTTTCTTCCAGTATTTTACTGCCACCTGGCTATGAATTTTCCTATAACTTGAACTTCTATATTCCCTATTTCCCTTGAAAGCCCCCGAGTGTAGTCAACTCTCACCTTGCTGGGCACCAACACCTCGAAAGGGCAACCCAATTTTCTTTTTAAAGCTATATTCATTGGTGAAATACCTTTATCCTCACAAATATAGCAAATAACTTCCTTTCCCTTAAACCCTCTAAATTTATCTGATCTCCTTTGCTATTGGGATATAGGACGATACGGCTGTTGCGCCTGTGGTGGCAAACCAAAACCGGCCCAAACTGTTGTGGCTATTGCCCACTATACTGCATAAATTGTGCATTTGGTTGAAAAGGTGATGGAGGTGCCATAAAGACTCCTTCGAACTGACTTTGCAGTTCTAGCTTAAGACCAAAAGGCTGTTGAAATCCTGGATATTGTATATAAGGCTGCAGCTGAACAAATTGTGTCAGTTGAATATTGCTTACTTGAGGAGCTGGGGTTTGATTTTGAGGCTGATCGACCCAAGGAGAATAAGCTCTCGCTTTTTTGGCTTTGGGAATGCGATGTGCTACCATTCTGGCCATTTCCCACTTATTCTCCAACAATTTTGACATTGGGTCAAAACTATCTACTACAGCCATCTTCGATACCACCTCCCAACTATCTTTATCGGCCACCCTGATTACATAGGCTCTTTCTAAAGCCACCTGCCTTGCTAAACGTAGATAAGTCAAGTCTTCTGAAGTCAAAACCCTATTTATCAAAGCCTCCGCTTTACACCATTTGTTATATTCTCACTAATTATGTTGTTTGGATAACTCTCATTTTTCTCAAATATTTCTGGGCTCCAAGTCATTTAAGGGAAAAACCCCCAAATCTGTGCCCCAACCCAGCGCTCTTGTATCCCGGGCCCACTATGTATAAAATTGTGACCCATAGAAACTTGCCTACCATATGGATCATACAAACTTTCCACTCCTATTTTTGCTTGCTGCAGTCTATCACCTGTCCATTGGCAAGCATCGGGCTTCTCAGAAAAACTCTCATCCCTATTTTCTGAAAATTGTATATTTTTTCCTCTTCCGGAGGTTTCGGATTCAAAAAGGAGCATTTCCGAGCCAATTTGGGCTCTACCATCCTTAACTAATCTAGCTACTATTTTCTTCCTTTGACCTGATTCAGAAACACCCAAACTCTTATAAAAAAACTTCAACGCCTCCATTGACAAACGCTTCAAGCTTGCCTTCAAGCTTGTTTGATTTGAATTGAGTTGAGGCAAAGTGTCGACCAAATGGCAGGTTCTGTCTTCTTACTAGCAGTTGTCATGACAAAAAAAAATTTGTATCACTCTAATCAGCCAACTAGGGCACAAGGTAACCAGTTTTTTAAAAAATATTGCTTTAAATGGTAAACAACATGAAGTAATACGTTTTCTGCACGAAAAAAAAAACCAAATATGTATGTTTGTACGAAAACAGGTATGTATATATTTCACAAAGAAAAACAGGTATGTATTTTACAAGAAAACAGTATATAAGTATTACACGAAAAAACCAGACAAAGTCAGGTTAGCAGAAAAAACAGAAATTACCTTTTGTGGGAAAAAACCTGTTCCCTTAAAAACTACTAAATGATTACTAATGGCAAAAACTACATCATTACGACACAACAATCACCTACGAAATTGTACAGCAATCAAACAATGTATCAAACAAAATCACACGATAATCAATGCAATGCATCACTCAAACAATTGCCAAGTTCTGTGATCGATTCGAGACAAAAAGCTGCTTTGATACTTTCGTATCGGGTAGCTAAAAATAAAAGTTATACTTACGTGCTAATAATTGACAAAAGCATTTAATATTTGTTAGAAGTATATTCTATGTTCACTAATTTTTTTTTTTTTTTTTTTTTTCTTTGATAACCTCGCACTAATTTATTAGAAACTTTAGCAATTTACAAAATTTGTAACAACTA